TCCCTGCTCACCGCAGTTTACGTCAAGGGTCCAGTTCAGGCATTTGACACAGGTTTGGTCTAGTATTGCTAGTTTGATGAATATTTGCTAAAATTTTTGCAGATGTTGGCTTTCTGGGAATTGGCTTACCTTGCACAGAATTCGGCGGCGCGTAGAAAGGCAATATACACCGATGTCAACCGCAAGCCAGCCAACATCTTTGAGCAAATTTTGAGCCAGTCTCTATCTGTCCTTGGTGAAGTTGACTTAAAACTCGCGGAAGTCAGGAACCCCCCGGCGCCTACCGCGTTAATATGTAAGTCTAATTCGCCGGCCTTTTTCTGTGGTGGACCCTAACATGGATTATTCCAGTGGCAACACCTAGTAGTACCGCAGCATCGGCCATTCCATCTCCCCCTCCGATTCCTATCAGTCAAATCAATCCCTTGTTAATTTCCCCGGTCTCTTCAACACATAAATTTCTGGAGGGTGTCCAATCAAAAGATGGATCAACCCCCACCCTCCAACATGTAATTGAGAAGCTTCCCTGTCAGCCGCCATCAATCGCAGAAGTAGAAGCCAGCGCCACTAAAAGCTTTAAATCGAAAATGGAGCCGTTTCTCTCATCTCCTTGGGGCAGCATGTTTAGACAAAGTATACACGCTACAACCTCACAACTTATTCCAAATGTGGGATTGCAGGTTAATGCTGTACAAGGTACCTGATTTTGTCCCCGTGTCTTGACCCCCAAAGCATCTAAAGCTGACTCATTTAGCAATTTCCCGCCTGGTAACCTCGTCCCTTGCAGAAGATGAATATGGCATTGTTCAAAGTCATGCCCCCACCCTCCTCGCTTCCTTCATTTCAATGATGGATACGCTCGACAAGTATATTGCTTCTCCGCCAATCAGTTGGACAGACGTGGAATCTATACAAAAACAAGAGAAGGGCGAACTACATCTAGCGGAACCGCATTTGCTACTTTCCACCCTTAAAGAAGGCTTTAAGGATATTGCGACAGCATACGCGCCGTATATTGATGACATGGGACTTGCATCCGATACTAGGAAAATCATTTTAGAAACTCGAGAAAGAGGTTTACCATAATGGGATGTGAACAAGGTGTGATTTGAGGGAGTAATGATACACATAATTGCTCTTTGTTTTTTGTTTCTTTTTGTTTCTCTAATTTTACTGCAAAATTGGACGCATGCAAGGGAGTTAAGACCTTTTTATCTATATGGCAAGGTACTTGATCGAAGTCCGTAGCTGTACTTGTGCAGGTTGCTGCCGTACAGGAAATTATGTGATTTTACCTTTTCTGAGTTTGATCATCACACTCCCATAATAACGATATCCAGTATATTTTGTTTTTAAAAGCAAACCCCCATGCCCCCCTCTCTTTGTGTCTATTTCATCCTACCCTTCAGAAAATTTACCCGGTCAAGAGGATATCTCGTTGGTTAAGTGGCCATCTCTTTTACTACGAAGTAGACCGCTTTGTGGCTAGGATATCCAAGTGATCAAGTATTATATGATATCATAAAACTTTGAGCGACTCAAGCCACCAAGTGAAAATAAAAACAAACACATTTAGAGCATCAACCTTGTGTGGCTGGCTTGTCAAAGTAAATAAGCTTCTAGCAACCTAGATATAGCTCCACTGCCAGGGGCATTTTCCTATCTTGATACACTCCTCGAAGCCTACTGCGGACAGTTCTCTGGAAGTCAGCAGTCTGAATTAGCTTCCTACAACAGACCGACGACGTAGAAAAACCTGTTACTAGCAGTTGGCCAGCATCCACCACCTAGCTGTACCTGCTACCAGCGATGCATAGGAAAGGTAAAGGAGACAGCCAAGAGGGCTGAAACCCCTCCGAGAATGTGGTGGGGAAATATATTCCATGAAACGGGGGCATTCAGAGTCTACACAGTACTTTTTCAGTGAATTCCTCTAAACAAACTGAAAATTTAAAAAGTGTCTGAGTTACTAGGGCTCTCTTCTCTGCGCAACCGATGCACTTGGCTACATACCAGAACCAACCAGTCACTGAGAATGTTCCGCGGATGACCTGATGCTAGAATGACTAGCCTTCCTCGGAGATTGAGACTCTGGACAATCAAGTCGACCGCTCGGCCGCTGGGATATCCCACTGAGAAAGTGACCCACTTAGCCAACAAGATATACCCTTGGCCCAGTCAGGTACTCAAGGACTAGATGGGATATATCCGGCTTGGAAAGAACATAAAGTTGGGTTTTCCACAGTGTAAGAAACTTCTAAAAAAAACCGCGCAGTATCGTGCAAGGCATGATGTCGCGGGCCAGCGATTAGAGCGCCTATCCGCGAAATACTATGTGAGTAAAGGGCGGTATGCTGATATGGAACCCCCATCGCGCTGCGACTCGGAAAACGCCCAAGCGATGTATACGAGCCATATCTCATGATGCAATGCTGGTGCCCTTGCTGTATTGAGTAACCATACTGGCACTCGAGCGGGGAGGGGAATCTGCGGTGGATATTAAGGCCATTTCTCCTATTTAGGGGGGATAAATAGGCCCCCTTTGTGGGCGAAGCTACCTAATCTATCCTGAGATAATTGTTTGGAGACAGAAACCTGGATGACCTGAGGAGGAAATTGCTAAGTTGTGAGGATTAAGGCTGGCTCAAGAGGAACTTTGGCGCCGAAAACTGGACACCCCCAGGAAGAGGCTGTGGACAATCCCATTAATCAAAAGGGGCTCTGGGGTAAGAATTTTGACTCTGGGGTTTACTCGTTTTCTCCTCGCCGCCGAGTTGCCCCTCTGGGATATTTCCACTAACGGGGAGTGTTTGGAGAGTACTAGCCGTTTTCACAAGTATCCGGATGCCTTGGCGCCAAGAGTTTTTGGGGCCTCATACAAAATACATCATGAGAAATTGATCTATTCTACGCATGAAATTTATTACCCCCATCCTGTTTGATACACTGAGATAGAATATTAGGTAGTTTAGATACTTCCCTATTAATCTCATCTATAGTAATTTTCTTCCATTCTTCCTTTAGAACCAATTTCATTTCCCAGGCAGATGTTACTCTTTCAACACCCCATCAGGTTTGAATCCTAGACTTCATTATGTTCCATAAGTGCTCTATCAGGTTCAAATCAGGAGAATTAGGAGGCCAGTCCACCTTATCAATCCCTTCCTTCTCTCTCTCGTAGTTGGTGAAATCAGAATCGTGTGCCAGGGCATTGTCTTCCATTAAGAGAAAGTCCGGGTTGTTGAGTTTTCGTGTGTGGCAGGTGGGCCATAATACTAGCCGAGCAAGACAAGTCACATAACGCCAGGAGTTTACCCCCCTTGGATCCCCCCTTTTGAGCTTCTTAATCTTATATTTCTTTCCTCTGCAGGATTGCACAGTTATTGCCTTCACACTAGTCACAGAGGCTAAAACTCTTACTTCACGAGCATCAGATAATTCTCATATCCTTAGCTCCTTCCATTCCTCTAATGCATGCCAAGCAGTATTAAGATATAACTCCTCCTTACCACAGTTATCATTATAACGTATAATGTCTTCACTTGCTCTCATCTTTTCCTCTTCTGTCTCACTCTCCCAGACCAAAAAAGGACCTTTCCAGCTATAGGAGATCATTCCCTAACACATGATGGAAACATTCTGCTTCTTCTTTGTCCCAACGCAATCATCCTCCCACTTCTCACTCTTCTCCCGCCAGACAACACAGGGTCCATAGAGACCGCCAATCTCAATAGACATCTCGTCTGTAAATGCGTAGTTGGCCTACTGCTCAGTAGGCCTCTAGAGAACACGTTTCTCACAATACTCCTATCATAAGATTAGTATTACTTCTCTTACTATTTCCATAAGAGCTCAAATAATCAAACCTCACTCTAAGACGTCCAAGATTCTCTCTCTTAGAGCGGTACGCAAGCATATAGCTAAACCATACCCCCTTGGCCCGAACTAATAAACTCCAAAAGTAGTATAACTCTTGTCATTACTAGTAGAGGTAACTCCAACGTCCTAGCATGAGGTTCAATCATTTAAGTTCTTATTGTAGTTATACTGCAGTAGATAATTTAGGAAACCTAACTTACCAATCTTTTTTTTTTATTTTCCTCATTCAAAATAAATTTGAATAACTCTTAGTACGCACCAATCTCAAACTCTTTTAAAGCACAGTAGACACTTGTCTCACTTACATGTGATAGGCCAGCCTCTTGCCAAATGTCACATAATGCCATCCTCCTCGTTGCGAAGTCTCTTTTAACAAATTTTACTAATTGATCTTTTTCTCTGGAACTCAGGGAAGGAGGCCTTCCACTCTTTGGAGCCGTATTTAATACAGAGGCAGCAATCAGTTCTATCAAACTGAATTCCTTGTCTGTGTAACGATCCCTTTCTAGATAGTTAGTTCTTGGCGATGGGGAACGATACTTGTCTTTCTGTCTTCTTCTTTCCTTGTCTTACGATAGCTCTAGGCCTCTGCCTATGTTACCGATAGTACAAGACCTTTATCTTCTATCGGGAATGCCTATCGTAAGCTTTCTCTAACTCATCTTCTTGAAGGACTTTTCTTGGCGTAACAATAACGTTGTAATAAAGATAAAGATCGTAAAGATGTTTTATATTCGTTAAAGTAATAAGTAGGAAAAGTACTTAGAACAAAGCGTGAAGAACCTATCTTCCTCGCCCGCATCAACCTCCTTATATAGTATTCTTCCCGCCTTTAGTCATGTGACCTAAAGTGGTCACATGTGCGAAACCAAATCATAACAAACTAGTCATGTGACCAAAGTGATCACATGCTCAAAACCCATGACCTCATAGCGAGGTCATGTACAAAACTCATAAACCAATCATAATACAATAAACAAGTCATATGACTCGACTGAATTATATGCGCGAAACCCATGACCTCATAATGAGGTCATGTGTGAAACATAAATCATATGCGCAAGGCATACCCACAAGGCACCCTCGCAAGGTATACTCGTCAGGCGCATGTCCCATGACTCATACTTGAGCCCTGTGCAAAAGCATCACAAATCCCACACATAACAAATTATATAACCCAAATAGGTCATATGCGCAAAACCATAACATACCTGTAACTCATAACCATGTGTCACGCGAAAACCTTTTTCATGCTAAGCCACGTTCGTGACAGTCTGGGGGAGGAGTATTGCCCAGAGCATGGTTGTTGGAAGGGACCGGAGGACTGTTAAGTGGGCAAATAACACCAGGGTAAGAGGTGGTGGTTTTTCAGACACCAAGGCTGCTCGAGAAAGTTGAATCGGTAGAGGGTGGTGGTTGGCTGGTCTGAGTCATACTAGCAGCAAGGCGAGTCTTTCTTGCATTTGCTAAAGCATGCCACTAAATATCAGAGGCTGTAAAACTCCAAACTCCTGTAAGTTCCTCAATTTTCTTGAAAGTCATCGGGACATCAAGACATCTTAATGTACTGCATTATTTGGTGAGGGCCGGCAGGCGCTAGTACGTTAAAATAAAGTACCACAGTATTACGCAATGGTTTCAACACCTAAGACATATCAAAAAAGTGGTTTACTAATATCTATCTACAAATTCAGTCTCATATCCATCCTCATTCTGAGGAAGCGGATGTTCTAAATGTTTATCCGAAGGAGTTCCTTCATCACCAGGACCCCCGGGAGACCTCCAATCCTCAATTTCAGTACTCTGTGCCCCATCCTGTAGTCTCCAATTACCAATCACAAGCTTTTTATGTAAAATACCCTTGATTGATAGCTCAGAATCGCATGAGCCATGGATGGGTAGTGCAAGGCCGACTTTCCGAAATGAGGTAACTATTACTTCCCTCCATATTGTGCAAAATGTATATCATGCTTTAGCCAAACACTTCTGAATTAAAACCCACCTCTCTTCCATTGCACTTGCTTTTCTACTCTCATGTAAATCCTCTCCAGTTCTTTGCTCATAGAGTTCCATAGTATCTTCTACCAGCACACATAGGATATTCTTAAGTGGCTTGTTGATAGCAATATCAAGAGGTTGTATAAGGCCAGTACACCCAGCAGGAATCATTGCTGGAACAATATCATGTGAGCGTAAAGTATCAAGTACAGCATCTGTTTTATGAAACTTCGCCACATCAAGGACTAGTAGTTGAGGGCGTCCAATGGGAAGTCATGGTACCAGCATATCTGTAATCCAATTGACTAGAATACTTTTGTTGGCATAAGCATTCAGATTAAACACAACACTGACACGAGAATCGTATCGAGCAACCTCTGCTGCATGTTGTCGTATATCGTGCGGTTGAGTAAGTACCTCAGCGCCTTTGAATAAAAGTAGCGGTTTTACCCGCATTGTACCATCTGAAAATACACACAGGATAATCATGGCCTGGCGCTTATCCCAGCCACTCTTAGTACTGTGTACTTGAACAGTATGACTTCTAGTATCGGTATAGGTTTGCCCCTTGAGGAATTCGAAGGGAACAGGAGTCTCATCCATGTTGCAAATTGCACTCAGGAGATAGCGGCCAACTACTAAGGGTTCATCTTTTTTTGCAATTTGTATCTGTGCATTACGTCTCACAAATCGTACAAAGTTGAGACAAGTATTGAGATAGTCGGCTAGAAGCTTTTGAGATTTATTGGTAGGAAATCGTAGAGTGACGCTGTGCCACGATAAAAACCCAAAAAACCACCCATCGGAGAAGACAAAGTCACTAATATCCCTCGTTGGATAGCAGAATTTAAAACATTCCCCTGCAGTGCGGCGAAGCCACCTCTGCCAGACAGCCTTTGCTTTATCCTGCCTCTCTCTATAAGCTTTGTGAAGCATCTCCTCCAACTCCGGCCACCAGCACTGCCTTGCACCTCCATTGGCCCGAGATCCTTTAACCCCATTCACAATTGCCTCCATAGCAGCTGGCTTTTTCCATCCTTGTAAAGTGGAGCGAGGGACAAGATAGCGAGCAGAAACCTCGATCTCAGTAGGTAGACGAAAAGCTGTAGGGCCTATCTGGATTTGAGAGTGCTGGGAATAGGAAAGAACTTGGAGTTTAAACTCTCGGGTATATGTCCTGTGAACTTCTTTTCATGCCTTAAGGACTTTCCTGGGTTTAATCATTACTGACTCCGAAGTGCGACTGGGCTGTTTGATCGATCTCCGCATCTTTCGTGATACTGGAGGTTGACGAAGCTCTCCCAGAATCGGAACTATTGGAGCAGAGGATTGAATGGAGGCTTGTTCCATTTCTGATATATGAGGCAAATCGATGAATGGCTATACTTTCCCTATGTAGTACCACATATGGTACCCTCTTGTACTTGAGAAGAAAATTTCCTGAGTCATTCAACGTTGAAAATATCCTCTCTGTTATTTTATTAATCATTGTCTTAGGTTCCGATCTACGGTTTCACCTCAGCTGTCTCTTTAATCTGACGTACTAGCGCCTGCCGGCCCTCGCCAAATAATGCGGTAACTACAGCAGCCCGGCGCCGTGGAGTAGTGTCTTTTCCTATTTTATAATTAGCCTAAACTATTATGATAGCAGATTTAGAATAGCTTCTTACCTCTCTTGACAATAACCCGTGGCATCTCCAGAGCTCTCGTTGTGTCGTACCAGTATCTCCAAATGGGTGGTGTTGTGGAACTAAGGATCGTTGTCGACACGAGAAACTGGCGAGGTTTCCCCTGATGTCTTGGCGCCAAGGCATCCGGATACTTGTGAAAACGGCTAGTAGTTCTGGCATGGTATCGGCGGGTCTCGTATACCGGTATTTCTGTCTCATCTCTAGTTGTTGACATAATGCACTGGCCCTATTTCTTCGTTTTTATCCGCTCACATTTCCCAATTTCACAGGAAAGTTAAGTTACCCCGGCTACCCCCAAAACCCGAGCTTTTGGAAAAGCTTAATTGTGATCTAAGACTAACTAGGATTGGGTTGGTCGCGAGTTAGGAACAACCACGAACACGAATGACAGAATGAGAGACGGACGATGGAAACGTCAATCAATACTACAAAGTCACACCAAAGGATAGTACTCGGGTAGTTACTGACCCTCGCAAGCCCATAGATCGGCAAGTCTACAACTGGAGAATGCTGCAAGTAGAATACAATCTCGTTCAAGGCATTATGTCCGACATTCAAGTCGGGGGGTCACGAGGGAACGTTACGCTGCTTGTGCCTCTCATCTAGCTTCACGGGCTTCCACGTGCGTGGAGCGCTCAGCGTTGCGAGTGACGGGCAGTGCGGGATCCTGGATTGGTTCGGGTCTAACGGGATATTACTGCAAGAAGAGGTGAATTTATCAGGCGTTCGGAAGAGCCCCCGATATGAGAGTTAGTATCGAAAACCTGGTGCGATTATCGAATTTAAGATTCTCGACAGAGAGAAGTCCATTCCTATCCTTTGGATTCCATTCCCCCTGCATCCCTAAAACTAGACCCCCACTCCCCACGTCCGATCGTCACCCCCAATCATGATCTTCAAACTCCTCGTTAATCTAGCCTTAACTACAGTAGCTAACTGGATAAACATAACGGTACGAGTTCGTACTCTCAAGACCAGGGGATACCTCACAGGGCTATACATTTTATTATAATTATAATTAATTCCACCCTACCCGCACCGCCGCCGCACGTTCGCGCCAGAAGGTGTTCGTGCTGTCCCCCGCGGTGATGATGATGGAAGCGATCACCGGTCGCACTGTCGATCCCCCGCATAATTGCGGGTCGAAGATGCCAGCGGAGTAAACTCCTAAGTTTTACATATAGCGAGGCACAGATACATCCGAGACCCCCTGTCCTGTCGAGCGCTCGCTCGATGGCCGACACCAATTCTCATCCTCCAACTCTAAAATCCGTGAGGTTATGTGTGGCCAAGGAAAGAGAAAAGAAGCTTGATTGTCCACTGCATGCACGGGGTTGGGTTTATATCTTTGAGCCAAGGAATGGGAAGAGGGGAGAGAAAAGGAAACCACAGGGAGCCAAGATCGGCGATTTTTGAAAAACAGGGGGGAACGAGGGAGGAACCGGGAGCGACAAGAGACGGGGGGGGGTGGCCTGCCATAAGTTGGATGAGGTGCAGCAGGGAAGTTGAGAGAAGGGCGGAGAAGAGATGAGAAAAAGTCAAGTGTAGTCTAACGATAGATGGAGTAGTGAAGGAAAGGCTGGTGGGGGGAGCCGGTCGCGGGGGGGCTGGCCTGTACCGTGCTCGAGTGCGGCGGAATATGATAATAGGAAATCCAACACTCCGCATGAGTGATACCCCATGAGCTACACTTTCATGACTGGCCATGCTCAGCAGGAAAGATCCACGATTGCCAAGACCCTTCGCCAGTCCATCCACCCATCAGTAGACTATCCCTCCACCCATTCTACCCCCACCGGCGATCCCTTCTGGCGCTCATAGAAACAAAACTTGGAAGGATGTGACCTGAAAGATCATATGCGTGACTGCGATCATAATTATATTCCGAGGGGCCTCCGATGGGTCGATGCGCTTTGCTTCCATTGCTTTCGTTCCTCATTCCTTCCGTTTGGTTGCGGTTTTGTGCGCCAAGGGGATTATCGGGCATGCATCGGGCCGGGTGAATTGTGATATTGGTTTCACCAGGTGCATGGGATAACCCGGTGTGCTTGTTCCGATGGTAAGTTATCTGTCGACTTACTGTACCAGTGGATGAGATTTAGTGGGTGAATGGGACCTGAATTGATTGATTGATTGGTGGGTCGCGCGCACGAGCCTGAAGCAGGGTTTTTGAGTTCGTAAATTTGGTCTTTTTGTTCCTCTGCTTGCGGAAGGTCGGATAGAGGATACGGTAGTGCATGTGCTTGAGCAGATATTGTAGATAGATGAGTACCGGTAGGTAGGAAACACGATGCACAAAATGTGCTCGCGGGTTCATATAATTTAACGTCCGTAGAGAGTAAATCATCGTTCTTTTGTGCTTCTCCTAATTATTACTACTGGGGAGAGAGCTCCGCGGCCAAATGAGCTCCTCGGCGACGCAGGGCCGCGCTTGGGTAGCACTCCTTTCCCCTCGAGCTCAAACCAACCAAGCAGCCAATACCACACGCCACCACAGCCCTGATCCTCCAAACCCCACAACAAAAATCAGATCATGATCTCCCTTCTGCGGTACTCGTTCAGTACTCGTACTTCCTTCCGTATCCCCTGTCCTTGCTTTCTTTTGTTCCAAGCCGTTCAATGGCCATAAAGCCTCTGATTTCTTGCAGCCCATCCCAACCCAACCGCCCACCTCCCGTCAATCAATCAATCTAGCCAAGACTCCGGAACATCCCCCCACCACCAACATTACCGCACACAACTGGAGTCCAGCGCGGTGTACTCAGTAGTGCAAATCAGTGACGAGACTCTGACCCGATCTCGAGTGCGCATCCATGACCCATCACACGACCATGACCGCATAGCATATGCAAACGCACGCTGCGACGTCCCCAATAATCGATGATGGATCGGGCATCCATCCATCCATCCATCCACCCATCCATCCATAATCATTCCCGGGCCCATGGATGTACGAGTATTGTAATTTGTTACACTCCCTGAATAAAAAAATGTGCCTTTCGCTGGTTGATCGGAGCGAGGGAGTAAGGGAGATAGATCGGAGATGAGATATGCTTTGCCAATTGGGCTGCTGTGGTTTGCTCGTTTCTGGCCTATGGGGTTTCGAGTGAACGCTTGTATACCAGCGGCGGCTATAGGCGGTAAAGTGTCGCTTCACTGTTCTACCGTGCCTTGCCATATCGCGCTCTCCGGTTCCGCTACTGTGCACGGGGACCGGGTGGGGGGATTTTGCATTCGCGTTTGGGAATTGGAGGTGATGGAGATGAGGCTTTGAGGGTTTTCCTTTTTCTTTTTTCTCCCACTTCGCTTGTCTTTTCATGTATGCGGTGGTAATTAATCGCGCCCTATTTAGCTGGTTTTCTGCGATAATTAGGACACCATCTCCGGATAAAGGACGTTTTGATACCGCACCACTATAGTTTTTTTTTTTCGTATAAAGGCGGTGAGAGCATAGCTTTTTGGCACACTTTGGAATTTCACGATTTCGATGGGGGAATATAATAAAGGTAGAGCATTGGGCACGATTTTGGGCTTGCGTTTGGATGCTGTTTATGCTCGTTTGATTGCGTATCGGTGGTTTTTGAGGATGATAACATTGCTGGATAGCGTTGGTGCGTTTTCTGGGCTTTTTGAGGTGGTTTATTACTCGGGGTCATCGATTATCGCTATGCGCCATACCGGTAAATTGGGGGGCTTTGAGAGCTACTGCTAGCTATGGTAGTGTTCGGGTACCATATGTACTGTACATGTAGAAAATTAAACAAATTTACAAGATTCCGACTCCGTCAAATTTTTTAATGATTGGAACGACTCTCTTCCCGCCCCCTTCAGCGCCGGCTTCTGGGTTGACTACTTCGCCAGCCTCCTCAAAGACTTCCCTAACACATCCCTCCAAACTAGCTAACAGCTCCTCCATCAAAGTTTGCAACGCGGTGGCCCTCTCCCTCATCCTCCTACGGACAAGGCCCTCTAGTAACTTCTTAGTCTCATCTCTTACCGAGTCAAGCTTTTCAATCATACGGCCGATTGAGCTAACGAGATACTCTTCCTCGTAAACACTGCCCTTCTTGCCGCGGGCCCGCTTGCGCTCTTCGCGCCGGCGGTTCTTGAAGGTACGGCGAGTAGCTCCTGTCATGGCGGTTTGTGCACCGCCGGAGGTGTACCTTGTAAAGAGGGATGCAGATGTTGACGCATTAGTTGGAGCTAAAGAGACATTATCTGGAGCGTCTTCTTCTGTAACTCCATCAAAGTAGGCCACTAAAGGTACGGTTAGCTTGGTATCTTGAAAATAGGTAGAGGGAATACTTACAAGGATTCTGTTCCTTCTTTGTGCGGAGCTCGTGTATACGATCTAATTGTGCTTTTAGCTGTCTCTTGCATTCCGCTATCAATTCAGAAGTTTGTGCAAATCCCTCCGACAAGCCAGCATCCACCACAGTGACTAGAAGCTCTGATTTTCCGTGTTTGCTAATCTACCTCTCTTATTAGTTGATATAAGAATTCACAGATAAGAGTACCACTTGCCAATCTCATTGCCTCACTAAAGTAACAGCCCTTGCAAAGGACTTTGGCGGCTTCTTCCAAGTCACTGCGGTGATCCATGTGGATTGCAGCAGCGCTCTGGTAGTCCTTCGACTCGCAAAGGGCTTCGGCGAGAGATGAGCTAAGTTCCTCGAGATCCTCCGCCGAGTATGGCACTTGAGCGGCGGCGAAGAGAGCTTCTTGCCATAGCCCAGCACGACGGTAACATTGGGTCGCCTGTGAGTAATCTCCAAGATATTCGTACGCTATTTCAAGCATAAGCCCTCACTCGTACACGTATGGGTCGGGTTGCGGCATACCTAATCCGGCGTCGGGATATCTCGAGACTCCTTCGAGGAAAATCGCATACAAGCCCATGATCACCTGTCCTAGTCAGTGGCGCTAAATACTCCGGAACAATAGGATAACATGCCTGGAACTTTTTGGGGCAGTATTTGCACAACCCCAGAGCCACCGAATAGAGTTCATGTTTCACAACATAATCCTTCATTTCATCAAATACCTCGTCACCAAGCTCGTACAAACGAGAACAGGCCTTTGCAGGCCTATTGAGGTGATCGTCGATTGTGAATTTGCGTCGTCTGGCCTCCATCTCTTGAAGCTTCTGTAGGAATGGTAGATATTCTCGGGGGTCCTACACTGCAATTAGTGCTATATCTAGAGATACACTGGCTAACAGCATCAACCTTTTGGGATTGCTGGGCTACCATGAGTGTGAGCTCAAGGTCGTAGAGCCCTAGAGTATTGTCGTAGAGTTTATTCACATCGGATAAGAAGCAAACATGCTGAATCGCCTCTTCAGCGAGCTCGGGGTTTTTCTCTTTGAAAATTTTAGTATATTAGAGCAATACACCTCTAATTCGAACATACCTCGGAGATATCCAATCAATAGTAGCGCCGCATCATGATCCGGCGGTGTTTTGCAAACATAGGCGGTGACGATGTTTTGAAGGTGACTTGAAAGCCGCTTTGGTAGTAGAACATTAAGAAAAGCATCGCATATTGTGTTTACTTTCGATTTGGAACTATTAGTGGCGCTAATCTGATTTAAGGTCTCTGAAACCTCAGCTGACTGCGAGGTCTCTCGGTACATCGCTTTTGAAACATCCTCTTCCCTGTTAGCCACTGTTAGCAGAGCTAGCAATACTATTCTACACCAGCCAATTATGGAGAACTTACCTTAATTGTGACAAAAACAAATCAATGTATTCAATTTCGTTAACCTGATCTATAAACAACTCAACCAACCTAATAAACTGCCCGGGTGCATGGTCATGTATGATATTGAGATCCACGCGATGGCTTCTGCACGCTAGAAATGCAGTAAGGTAATCCTTGGCTTCAATGCTCCTTCTAATTCCCGCCAGCACCAAAACGCGAGGGTATATTGTTTCCAAGTTCCCTCGTGGCATCTGTAAAGTTAATGCAAATTTAGTTGGCATCACTTGTACCAATCGAGCCCCTCTCTCAATGCTTCGGCAGCGCTCATCACTACTTGGGTCATCTCCTGGTATATCTAGGTCTAGTTGTTGTTAGCTTAGGATATTGAAATCGGCAGCTGGCGTACCTTGGTGACTATGGTGCAAGTGCACAAATTTAACAAAGTGTCGTGTTGTCGTAAATACCAAATGAGCTGGGGTGATTGCAAATGATGTGCAATTCGAAGCTATCGATTTAGAATTCACGTAGAGTCGGCCATCGCCAGAGAGGCCGAAGACCATTTTCTTACTCGCCATTAGAGCCAGGGATACACAAAGAAGACAGACACTTACTTGATAGAAGGCTACCTCTAGCCAGGGGCAAATAGCCGGGAGTTGTGTAACAAATTTCGCAGACTTGTTCTCTGTGTCATAGAAATAAACTTTCCGTTCGCTATCCTGATAGAAAAGATGTTTGTGGTCTGGTACACCTCCCAACCGCGCAGCAGTGGCACCATTTTGAAATTCATGTGTGCATTTAGAAATTGCTTGTCTATTGTTTGGAATTGATATCACTTGTAAAGCACTGCCCACCTTCATGTCACAGACCACTCCTAACGTCTCATCATCGGCGAAAGAGATCTGGCGGAAACATTGACCTGTGTCAAACTCCATGATGTCTGAGGTGAGGATTGGACCCGAAACAAGTTTGTTTCTGGCGAAATCCCATCGAATTAAATCCAATGCCTTATCTCTAAGGACGGCAATAAGGCGCCCAGTAGGACTAATAGCTACATCCACTGGAGTAGACTTGAGTTCTACTTCTGTGAGCGCCATTGGTGGCGGAATGTTGGCAACACGCAATGGTGTAAGCTTGAGGGTAGCTAGATCCATTCATCATAAGCAAGCACACGTCATAATCAGGGGCACTCTGGTGGGGGTTTCTTTCGCATACTTCCGTCTACGACTGCTAGGACACCATGATCATCTGGTGATCTCGAAGAACCTGCGAACACAGACCAGGAGAATTCGTAACTTATAATACTCTCTAATCGGTTCTATTAGTGAGAGTGTTCTCTACAAAAGTCAATGAAACGGCATACCACCCAGTCCGAGCGCAAGCAGCAGAGGCTTTTCAGAATGCCATTTCACATACAAATTATGTTGCGCTACGTGATATCCCTTGGGGTAAATTAACTCCTGCTTCAGATACCAATGATAGTTACCCATACTCCACAGCTGCGCTCTGCCTTTGAAACAAATGGCTAGTACCGAGGAGTCATGATTCCAGAGTAACTCCAGTATTTTCTCATTGGAGATTTTATCCGGCGGTATTCTTAGTGTGAATTCCCCGTGTCGGAGACCGTTTCGCTCAAAAAAAACAACATCGAGTCTCTCAGGGAGGCGTTGGATGCCGACCATAAGGTTTCCAGCTGGTCTCCAACTCAGAGGCCCTTCCAAACCATCAACGGGTTCGCTGATACTATCCAAGGAACCATCTCGGCTGTAAACTCGAATGATTCTCCTCTTCGAATCCTCCACAGAGGACAAAGCGAGATATTCACCATCCCCTCTCCAACTAATCCTCGTACCGTTATCGTCGTGGGGGCTGAGAACACCTTCGTCAATCTTCTCAGGAACAGTCGGATCTCTCATAGCTTTCACCCGTTTCCCTTTAAACTGAGTCTCTGATTTCCCCCATCCCACAGAGACATGTTTTGAAGCATTGAGATCATTTGGCGAAAGAATGACGTCGGCGATGGGTTCGAACGCTCGTGTCATAAGAAGCAAGGTTGATGCACCAGTGGCAATGGCTAGAATTTCTTCATCGGGAGACCATGCTGCAGCGGTTATACCTTCATCAACAGATCCAACGATTTCTATTTTATTAACTCCAGGGGTGGGGTCTTCCTGAACGACCACAATGTCACCTGCAGCAAATATTACGCAGGTTGAGAACGTATCAGGGAAATAATGCAGGACGAGAATGCGATCGCAAGCCAACGATGGCGATAGACAGGGCGAAGCATCCCACGATGCGATGGGAACCGATTGGCCATTCTTCTATTTTTGAACATAATCAGCAAATGCCTCCTTGCAACGCAACAAAAAAGATCGATCTGGACAACGATTCGAATCCCACGTTAACACGTTTCAGCTCAACGGCAGCTTCGGCCTCAGAAGGGCCATGAGTACATATGAGTGAATCCTCAGATCCACCCCAAGTGATAGCAGAGAGGGGGAGGTCTGGAACGTTGGTGGAAGTGGTGCCAGCGACGGAGCGCTCGATGGTAAGGAGGTTACGCATGGAAAAAAAAGCGTTTTTGTGCTCTCCTGCTTGCTTGCTTTGGGTCTTGCCTTGCTTTCCCTTTTCAATTATTTTTTCCTCCACCTGGCGGTGTTTGCTATGCCACGAGACCGGAAGCCAAGTCCGGGGTGATACTGGCAGAGGGGAAAAATATTTTCTTGAGGTGCAGGAGGGTGGGAATACAGACAGCGGGAGAATGATTAGGGGGAGCAGAACGAGCCCTCAGGTATGATAGATGAACGGACAGTGGCCAGACGGAAGAGTGAATTGAAGGTGGGGCAGGAAAAACGTGAAGGGTTGCCCCACCATGAGGTAACTTTTCGAAAGAGCCTCACCTGACCAAAGTCTGCGTCATGACCCGTGACCCACCTCATACTGCTGGATTCTGGATTTACAATGTAACAGCAGTTGATGAGCTCTTAGCAGTTGATATACGGGATCGCATCAAAACCTCCCGAAATAGCCCCAGACTTATCTGGCTTGAGCCTTTTCTTTCTGGTGATGGTACTGACATAGATAAAAAAGGGTCGGTTTTATGGAGTGGGTGATGCTCTATGAAGTCAATTCCTTGTCATTAGTGAAAATCCCCTCTGCGCTCCTCCACCCAATATCGTTGTATCGCATCTTTCTAGGAGTCATGAGACCAATAGCAAATATGCAAATATCTCTCCCGGTAGTTGTGGTAGAATCCTTTACCATAGTTCGCCCGAGATGCCCTAACCCAGTATTTAGTGCTTCCATGGCCGCTGACCCCCGCATCAGGGCCAGTTTGCTTTAACATTGTCTCTTCCCAAAACTCGCCTTTCCCCACGCTGCGCACCTTCTGAAGCATCGGCTTCATAGGATCTGGTCTACCATATTTCATTTTATGGCTCATATCACTCGATATACCCCCGACTCGTCCTGCACCACCATTTCGGTACCCCACACTACAAACTCCAGGCTCCTATCCCAACTAACCTTCACATTGGCGTATAAATCTTGCCAGCAACATAGATGCTGATTCATATTTGCAGCGCTTGGCGCCTCGGGAGTGATTGGAAAAGGCTCCCACCTTAAGAAAATGAATTAATAGACCTCCTCTTAATCCACCCCCAGATTCGGTAAGTCTATTTCCCAAAGGATCCGGAGACGAATAGGTCACACCATAACACCAACTACCACTGGATCTCGGTTCGTCACGATCCATACAGCACGTGAAATAATTGAATGTCCCACTGGGATACCGAGGTTTCATAGAACTTGAGTTCTATAATTCTAACCCTATACAGCCAGACCTTCACCAGAAATAGCCTCCAATCCCACCGCAAAAGTCTGTTTCAACAAACCAAAGTTACCAAAACTTAGGCCTTGTTCTTAGAAGACTGCCAGATGGTAACCCCAAAAGGGAAGCCAAATCCAGCGGCTACTCAAACATGTTAGCAACTCTACAAAACCTTCCCATTCGATTAAGTGAGACGAACTGCAGAAGGCGATGAAACGCAGGTAAAAGAAGCGAGTATGAGGGTTGAAAGGGATATTGCTCCTGGGTCCCTCAGGGTAGTGGTAACCACCAAGGCGAACGGGTGTGGCGTGCAGCCCGCGGCGAGCCATAAGGTAGGGGGCCTGGGTGGTGGCGAAGGTCAAACGGAATGCGGTTCTCTGAATCATCTGTAATTTAAAGCAAAATTTGAGTAAAAGGGGTAGCAAAATGGATTTAAGGAAGCGGAGGAGATATTATGGGGAGGGAAGGATGGAACCGCAAGATCAACGGCAACATACAAATGGTTTTAAACGAGCGAGTGAACCGAATAAAAGGATTCAGAAAGAGGGTGGACTCACGATTTCAGTGCAGATGAGATGCAATCTAACGAGATGATTGGAAGAGGAAACCGACAACTGAAGAGGAGTAAGGTTTCTTGTATCATAGAAAGTCGGACGATGACTATAGGGTGGTGACAACCTTAGGGAGGATTTTGGCTTCTACAGGCGTTCTGGAAGCTACGCACGACATGTGTTTATCTTAGAATTTTTTGTTTCTATCAAGTTATCGTAACTTATGATCGCATCCTGTAACTTTCCATCCTTCCTCCTTTTCCTGTGACCTTCCCGTAAAAATTTTAATCATAACCCGGCCATAACTTTTTTCTCTTCATCACACGCTGACCCCCCCTCGAGATTCTGACGATCAGAAACCCCCGCCGACTGTGACGTCCAAACAGGATCACACAGGGCTGGTCTGGACCCGACCTTATTTCGGTAATATTTCCAACCCTGCTAGGCCCTTGCCAAGACAAGAAACAAGAGAAAAGCGCCCACCACTACCCCCCAGCACCAGAGCTTTTATTTCAGAAAGTTCCTACCGTCCTCAACTCTTTAGACTAAATACCCTTCAACTTCCGACTTAGAGACAAACGTTTCTCATTACAAGAGTCGCCCCCTCCTACAGTTACACCTTAATTCTTACTTGCCTCAACGACAATGTACGGTGAGGAGCTGTTTGATGTCTTTGAGCCTGGGAGCCTCAAAAACGATGCCCGCCCATCCAAATCGAAGAAAGATCGCTCCGAACGGAAAAAGAGACTCGCAAACGGCGGTGGCCGCCCACAGGAGAGCGATGGTGATTCTATAGTAGCGGAGTCGCGGACTGATGCCATGTCGTTGGATTCTGCTCCTGTCGTGGGTGGAGGGGGGGGAACAATAACTTCACCCGGAAACCTACCGTTAGCGAAACGTCAACGTCGGGAGTCAGGCGCAGATCCTATTGCTGCAGATGTTTTTGAGATTGACGCGGCAAGAGAGGTTCCTGCGTCAAGTGGGCTAACGTCCCAGGATACAGAAGGAAAATCTATCATCATCCCGCACCAAGTACGCCATCAGGTTTCCCTTCCCACGGACTACCAATACAAACCGATTGAGAATCACATATTCGTTGAACCTCCAGCAAGAGCGTATGGCTTCACCCTAGACCCTTTCCAGAAGACGTCGGTGGCTGCAATCGAGCGGGGAGAGAGCGTGCTGGTTAGTGCGCATACAAGTGCCGGAAAAACTGTTGTGGCGGAATATGCAATTGCGCAGAGTCTGCGGGACAACCAGCGGGTTATATACACTAGTCCGATCAAAGCTCTGAGCAATCAGAAATATCGGGAGTTTAGCGCAGAATTTGGAGATGTCGGGCTCATGACCGGAGACACCACTATAAACCCAAACGCAACTTGTTTGGTAATGACAACTGAGGTACTTCAACTAAACAATCATAGACAGAGAGGTCAACCAGATTGCTAACAGAAATAAAGATTTTGAGGTCTATGCTCTACAGGGGTTCGGAGGTCATGAGAGAAGTTCAATGGGTCGTGTTCGATGAAATTCATTATATGCGAGACAAAGGTTCGATATCGCCTTCCCACATAACATTGTAAGATATACTCACTGCTCTTAGCCCGCGGTGTTGTCTGGGAAGAAACAATCATCCTCCTACCAGACAAAGTGAGATACGTCTTTTTATCTGCGACAATTCCTAATGCCATGCAATTTGCCGAATGGATTTGCAAAACTCACAACCAGCCATGTCACGTGGTTTACACTGATTTCCGCCCCACACCCCTTCAAACTTACCTTTTTCCTGCTGGTGCAGATGGTATGCATCTTGTGGTAGACGAGAAGAGCGTTTTCAGAGAGGACAACTTTCAAAGGGCGATGAACTTTATTGCCGAAAAGCAAGGGGACAACCCTGGCGATATCAATGGGCGAAAAGGTAGAGGAAGGAGTGACCGAAAACATAAGACCAACACTGGGGGAAACAAAGGTGAGAAATCTTCGCCCCGTTGGCTGCAAGGTGCTGATCAAGATTTTATAGGTGGTCCTTCCGACATATATAAAATTGTCAAAATGATTATGATCAAAAATTATAATCCTGTAATTGTGTTCTGCTTTAGTAAGCGGGAGTGTGAGAGCCTTGCTCTTCAAATGAGCTCACTCGCATTCAACGACGACGCTGAAAAGGAAATGGTGGGAAAGGTATTCGGCAACGCTATTAGCTCTTTATCCGAGGAGGATAGAGGGCTTTCCCAAATCCAACATGTCTTACCTCTTTTGCGTCGGGGTATCGGTATTCACCACTCGGGACTCCTCCCCATTCTAAAAGAGGTTATTGAGATTCTTTTCCAAGAAGGACTTATCAAGGTCTTATTTGCGACTGAAACTTTCTCAATCGGACTCAACATGCCTGCTAAAACGGTTGTATTTACAAATGTTAGGAAATTTGACGGTAAAGAGCAACGATGGGTATCGCCCTCAGAATTTGTTCAAATGTCAGGTCGCGCAGGGCGTCGTGGGCTGGACGATCGTGGTATTGTCATCCTAATGTTAGATCAAACTTTAGAGCCTGCAATTGCTCGCGAGATCGTCAAAGGAGAACAGGATAGGCTTAATTCTGCATTCTACTTGGGTTACAACATGATTCTCAATCTCATGAGAGTTGAAGGAATATCGCCCGAATACATGCTGGAAAAGTGTTTCTTCCAGTTCCAAAATCATGCGGGTGCTGCAGGGCTTGAAAAGGGTCAGTTATTTCTGCCCAGTCACAATTTGTGCTAACAATGCTACAGAATTGAGCGAGCTTGAGACTGAGAAAATAAATACGGTTATCGAGGATGAGCCGACCGTCCGAGAGTACCATGACCTACGGCAAAAACTTGACGGCTACACCAAAGAAATGCGCGAAGTAATTAACCACCCCAATTACTGTCTACAGTTTATGCAACCTGGGAGACTTGTAAAAGTGAAGTATCTCAATTATGATTTTGGATGGGGCGCCGTCGTCAACTACACCAAGAGACTTCGTTCAAGGGTGCGTACAGACAGGTATTCCTTTTACGGCCCCGGATTCTAACATACTGTAGAGTGGAGAGGAGTTTTCGCCCCAGGAATCTTATATCGTCGATGTCCTTCTAAACATCGCCTCTGACACGTCGTCTTTTACTCGACCTGGTCAGGAACTCCCCACAGGAGTGAGGCCCCCTAGCGAAGGCGATAACGGCAAGATGGAAGTTGTACCTATCTTACTTTCCTGTTTAGCTAGTATCTCAGGCCTCCGTATTTTCCTCCCCAAGGATATGAAATCACAGGAGCAGAGAAATAGTGCCAGAAAAAATCTCGATGAAGTAAAAAGACGATTCGCAGATGGTATCTCAGTCCTTGACCCTATTGAAAATATGGGTATAATCGACGATTCGTTCAAGAATCTTCTTCGTGTAAGTTCCTAAGCCCTTGCCTCATCTCCATATCGCTAACATAGCTCTAGAAAATCGAGGTTCTTGAATCGCGTTTGCTCTCCAACCCTCTCCATAACTCCCCTAGATTGAAGGTCCTATATAACCTTTACAATCACAAAGTTGAATTGCAAGAGAAGATTAAGGCAGTAAGGAAACGGATAAATCTTGCGCATTCAGTGATGCAACTGGAAGAACTCAAGTACCGTAAGCGCCTGCTTAGGCGGCTCGGGTTTATTGATGAATTAGACACTATTCAGCTGAAAGCCCGGTACGCCCTCCCTTCCCCTTCAATTGCCCCTTTTCTCCGCTAACACATATCCAGTGTTGCATGTGAGATTAGCTCTGGTGATGAACTTCTCATCAGTGAGCTCCTTTTTAACCGGGTCTTCAATGAGCTCTCACCCGAACAAACCGCTGCGCTCCTCTCTTGTTTTTACCACGAATTTTGGCCTCGGCTAATGGTGCGTTGTAGCAAACCCGAG